TATACTAATATCCAAGTCAGCTAAATTTGAGGATACTTAAATCTGGTGATTGGAGCTGTGAACAGGCAAGAAAGATCTGCCTACAAACCTGAACAGCACCCCAGGTTTGCAGAAAAATCTGATATCTAGGAAAAACGCATGGGAGGTTTAAATAAAAACAACAGCAAAATAATAAAAGGAGCACCTATAGCTTTAACAAATAGATTCCCCACAGTGGCCATTGTTAGGCAGCCACAGCATTTCAAGTCTTAGTTTCTGTGAGTAAAAAGCAGAGGGAAGGCTCAGGATCCCTTCCAGGGCTGTTTTGGCTTTCGAGGGAAGACTCATTGGAGCCAGGCCTAACAGCAACCACTGGATGACTTAATACTACCTGAGTTGCATGACTCACCTAGGTCTGATTGCTTGGTACTCTTCAACAGCAGCCTCCCTATGAAAGCCAGTGTGGTGTAGCAGTTAGAGCTTCAGAGTAGGGTCAGAGAAACCCAGGTTTGAATCCCCATCTTGCTGTGGAAGTTCACTGCGTGACTGAGGGCAAATCACATACTTTCAGCATAACCTAACTCACAGGGTTGTTATGAGGAGAAAGGAGGAAAAGAGAATACTGTAATTTGCTTTGGTCTCCACTGTGGATAAAGGTGGGGTATAAATGACATAAATACATAATAAATATAGGTGAAGATGGAAGGCAGATAAAAGGTAGGTTGGTGAATGGCTGAGAAGGTGAGAAGGAAGCAACGAAAGAGGACAGGAGATGGGTGTTGGCAGGAGGAGGAAAAGGGAAAATAATGTGGGGAAGGGGATATGGGGGAAATGATGTCCCCTCCCCCACAAGTCCTTGAAGTTTCCCTACCATGCAAGTGGGCTTGGCCCCGTGGCTTGCATCACCCAAATGTGCCATGGTTTTCCTAGGTAGAAGCTCCTGCGGGTGGGGGAGAAAGCTGAAGACAGAGGGACAGATAAAGGTAGGTTTGCTGTTTAGTGGGAAGGAGAGAAGGAAGCACAAAATGGGGAGAGGCTATGGGGGCTTTCAGGAAAGAGGAAAGTGTGGGGGAGGGGGAAGGAGATGCCCCCTCCCCCCAACAAATCCTTGCAGGTTCCCACTTGGAATGTTTCTAAACCTCTGTCACCACTCCCTTTCCTGGCCTCTTTTCTTGGCTAAACAGCCTTGAGCGTTTTAACCCATTTTCACTGGGTGGCTGGTCGAGCCCCCTCTTTTCTCTCAGCCTCCGCACCTCCCAGAGTGAACCTCTCCGCTTGGCTCCCGATTTGTGGCGGGGCAGGGGCTTTTCGGGGGCCCTGCTCCCGAAAGGCGGTCCCTCAGGTATGTAGGTCCCTGACCATATAGCTAAGAACCAGCACCTTAAAGCGAATTCAGTATGCTATCGGTAGCCAGTGCAATGCCTTCAGCACAGGCTGAATGTGCTCCCGCATTGGGAGGACCATTAACATCCTGGCTGCTGCATTTTGCACCTGTTGTAGCTTCCGGATTTGTGATAAGTGCAGCCCCATGTAGAGAGCACTACAGTAGTACAGTCTCAAGGTGACCATCGCGTGGATCACCATTGCCAAGTCATTGCGTTCAAGGAAGGGAACCAACTGCCTAATCAGCCAAAGATGATAAAAGGCCGACTTGGCAGTGGCTGCTACCTGGGCCTCCATTGTTAAGGAGACATCCAGGAGCACTCCCAGACTCCTAACCTCTGGCGCTGGCACCAGTGGTGCCCCATCGAAGGTCTGGAGTGGGATCCCTACCCCTGACCCGCCCCAACTTAGGCACAGGACCTCCGTCTTCGTCGGGTTCAGTTTCAGTCAGCTCAGCCTAAGCCAACCAGCCTGGTTTGGAGTCGGGCCAGCCGCCCAACAGCAGATAGAGCTGGGTGTCATCAGCATACTGATGACATCCCAGCCCATGTCTCCATGCAATCTGGGCAAGGGGGCACATATAGATGTTAAATAACATCGGAGACAGCACCGTCCCCTCAGGCACTCCAGAATCAAGTGAGTTAAGTAAATTAAGAAATGCTGACTTGAGAATCTATTAAAATAGCAACTTTGTAGATCAATGTGTTATATTGATTTCTATTTCAGACAGTTTAGCTGCCTATTTCTGATTTCTATGTTTAATTCCCCATTCCGTCCCTTCACTCCTCTTTTAAACTGAAGAGGAAGAACCCTGCAAAAAGAGCTGTGAACACCTGTTCATTCTTTACATCTGTTTCATCAGTGTATTTGAGCTTCTTAAATGTACCTTGTCAGCTTTCATAATCACTGAATTCATCACTACTTTTCTAACCTGTAGAGTCCAATCTGCCTTTAATTTTCAAGTGTCATCATTTCACATGTTATTAATTAAAAAGGACCAAGGCAGAATGCAGTCACTTTGACAAATCACTACTGAAGTTACAAACCTGGTTCCTGCCTGCATGTCCCCCCCCCCAATACTTTATACGTGTTCCATGAATAAGTTTAATTTTTAATTCTCTTGAAAGGTATGGCCTATCAGTTGAAAACATCTTCCAGACGTGGCTTGACTGTTCAGGAATCCCGAAGGTAAATGCAAAAGACCTAAATAAATTCCAGATTTATGGATTTCTTGAGCACATTGTTCAAATTACTGTCTGTGCTGTAACAAGTGTGATATAAAGCAAAATCCTGGTTTTGACAAAATCCACACTTCACCTTTATAAAATGGGGATCAATCTTTATAAATTGCAGGTTTCATTTCTGTTTTCATCAAGGAGATGCTGCCAAAGGGGAAATCTCTTAAACCCTATTTTATTGCTAAACATGCTATTCACTGGGAACTACTATTAAGGTATTGTAGTGACATTTCACATACTATTAAAAAACAAGTCGATCAGTTTTATGAATTATTTTCGCCTCAGGAGGGGGGGGAAACTTTATGAAGTGTATTTTTACTCTTGGAGTTTCTAGTTGTGTTTACCACTCTCTTTTTGTGTGCTGATTGATGGACAAAAATTGAAACCAAACACAGACTAAAAGAGCGCCAGTTTGGTGTAGTGGTTAAGTGCATGGACTCTCTAATCTGGAAGAACTGGGTTTGATTCCCCACTCCTCCACTTGCACCTTCTAGATGACCTTGGGCAAGCCATCGTTCTGTCATAGCTGTTCTTCAAAGAGCAGTTCTTGAAAGAGTTCTCTCAGCCCCACCTACCTCACAGTGTGTCTGTTGTGGGGAGGGGAAGGGAAAGGAATTTGTAAGCCACTCTGAGTGAAGGGCGGGGTATAAATCCAATCCTTCTTCTTCTCTTCTAACTATTATGTATATTGAGAGTTCCAAAAAGTTGTGTCACTGTGCTAGGTACAGACTGTGCAAAATAAAAAGAATAGGTTTTATTCTTTTTTAATAATATCTTGTCTCACTAACATGTTAGTGTTCTTTGAGGGAGTGAACAAACATGTGGACAAGGGGGACCCAGTAGATGTTGTTTACCTTATCTTCCAGAAAGCTTTTGATAAAGTTCCTCATCAGAGGCTCCTAAGTAAGCTCAATAGTCGTGGGATAAAGGACAAGTACTTTTGTGACTCAAAAACTGGCTAATTAATAGAAAACAGAGAGTGAGTATAGATGGGCAATTTTCTCAGTGGAGGGTGGTAAGCAGTGGGGTACCACAGGGATCAGTACTCGGTCTGATACTTTTTAACTTGTTTATTAATGATTTGGAGTTGGGAGTAAGCAGTGAAGTGACTAAATTTGCAGATGACACGAAGTTGTTCAGGGTGGTGAGAACCAGGGAAGATTGTGAGGCACTCCAAAGGGATCTGTAGAGGATGGGCGAGTGGGCATTAACGTGGCAAATGGGGTTCAATGTGGCCAAGTGCAAAGTGATGCAGCTTGGAGCCAAAAATCCTAACTATAAATACACGTTGATGGGGTCCGAACTGGCAGAGACTGACCATGAGAGAGATATTGGAGTCGTAGTAGATAATTCACTGAAAATGTCTAGACAGTGTGCCACTGCAATAAAAAAGGCCAATGCTATGCTGGGGATTATTAGGAAGGGATACAGAGTGTGATACAGAGTGTTGAACTGGATGGGCCTTTGGCCTGATCCGACATAGGCATCTCTTATGTTCTTATGTTCTTATGAATTGAAAACAAATCAGCCAGTATCATAATAATAAAATTCTTCCCACAACGGGCCTTTCTCCTAGTCTTCTTATAACATCCAATGCAGACCAACAGTACCGATGCATAAGACTAGCACTTTACTATTATATTTGGTTTTAACATAGTATTTTAATGTTGTATTTATTATCGATATGTATTTTGGAATTTTATCTGTTGTAAACCGCTCTGAGACGGCCCCAGCCGGGTGGGTGGGATAAAAGTTTAACAAATTAAACAAATAAATAAATAAATTAACAGAGGCAACTCATGTGAGAGAATCTGTTCATTCACTATTTATTCCCTATTCTCTCTGTATATATAATTTTTATATTTTTTGTTTTCAATGGCTATCTTGGATTGCCAAATATCTACTTCTGTCAGACTTGCAAGTGAGGATTGACTTAAAAATAGGGATTTTTCTTCTATATGCCTGCAATTTGGCAAGGGAAATTCTTTGTTAGAGGGACAGAATTTCTGAGAGTTGCATCTCAGTGGCTGAGGAATAAAAGATTAGAGCTGGAAATAGCACTTCCAGGAAAATCAATGGAAAAAATATACCAAATGTAATAAATATATGTAGCAATAAAAATAAAGAAGAATAATTCAGAATTAATAACCAAGTTGAAACCAAAACAAAAATCTGAGCATCCTTACTATTTTTTGGTTGCTTTACAATTGTTTTAAGAGAGTACCATCTAAAACATAGATTAGGTGGGATCAGCACACCTTCTGTGGCCTTTTAGTTGATCTCCTGGATTCAAGTCTGCCTATCTTGTATGCCCCTCTTGCATGTACAACGTAAGGTGGTGAGGGGGGTTGTGTGTGTTAGTTTAGACTCTGTCAGGAGGCCTCAGCTGTATTGGAAGTTGACACTGGCTTACAAGCTATCATAGACAACAGGAGTGCCACTTGAGCTAACCCTGATTAGTACTGCACAGAAGAAAGCAATGGTAAACCACCTCTGATCATCTCATACATTGAAAACCCTATGATGAGAAAATTCAAAGTGAAAAAGACCCCCAGGTCAGATAGTAGTCAATCAACTACTGGGGAAGACAAATATAAGTAGTGCTGTTCTTAATGATGAAAGTGGATTAAAGCTGAAAGGACATTCAGTTGTTGATGTGAAAGGATGCAAAAGGAAAGTCCATAGCTCTTTAACACATATAATAAGAACATGGAATGTCAGAAGAATGAATCAAGGTAAGCTCAAAATTGTAAAATAAGAAATGGAATATTTAAATATTGCAATTCTGGGAGTGGGTGAACTGAAGTGGATTAGGATATTTTCAGTTAGAAAATTATGAAGTTTTTTACTGAGGAAATGACAAACACAGAAGAAACAGAGTTGTTCTAATAGTGAGGTGAGACGTTGCGCAAGCAGTCAGGGGCTATAATGCAAAGTCTGACTGAATAATATCAATCAGACTTGGTGGAAAGCCTATCAATATAAATGTCATTCAGGTTTATATCCCAAGTACGAATGTTGAAGAAAAAGAAATAGAAAGCCTTTATGCAAATGTCCAGGAAGAAATTAATTAGGCTGCAGTCTCTCACACACTAAATAATCCACTTTCAATGCATTTTCCAACTGGATTTTGTCAGTTCACACTTTAAAATCCAGTTGGAAATGCACTCAAAGTGGATTGAAAGAGGATTATTTAGCATGTGTGATCGCAGCCTTACACACACCTAAACAGGATGTGCTGATAATCATAGGCGACTGGAACACAGAAGTGGGAAATGAAGTAGAAGCAAATAATGTTGGAAAAATTGGGCAAACTAATTTATACAGTCGACAAATCACTTCCTCACAACTTTAATGCCAGTAGCTCACAAGGTAGAATTTTTGCTCACAAGACTCCACAGCTTGGAGGAAGCATTGGGCACAAACTGGGAAAATGCAGTTCATTTTGGTTTGTGGCTTGCCTGGTTTATGAGCCACGGATCATCATGAATAGGGATAGGCATGAACTGCTTTTTTGCAGTTTGGTTTGTGGTTCGTGGCTCAGAGCCATTTAAACCAAACAGCTGAGCATTGCCACTCAGCTGTTTGGAAACCCCTGCTTTCTGCTCCCTGCAAAAAGCCACAGAGTGCAGAAAGCAGTGGTTTAAATGACTTCAAGTCATTTAAACCAAACATCTGTTTTTCGTGAAGAGCAGAAAGCAGAGGTTAACCCTTACTTCCTGCTCTTCATGAACTGCCTCAAAATTTGTGGAAGTTTGTGATGGTTCTTCAGTTTGAAAACATCACTTAGTGAACCATGAATCGGACAAAATTCATACAAACTTTACATTGTCAGCCAGTTAGTGCCCATCCCTATACGTGAACATCACTGGATGGCCAATACAGAAATCAAATAGATCACATAATTGGAAGAATTGGAAGATCTATTGGAATTGTTAAAACAAGACCAGGAGCTGATTGTGGTACAGACCATGAATTATTAATATAAAAATTAGAATAAAGGTGAAGAAAAACACTGAAACATTCATAGTGCCAAAATACAATCTAAACAGCATCTCCGAAGTACTTAAAGGCCATGTAAAGAACAAATTTGCATGACTAAGTTCAAGTGAATCGGAACTGGAAGAAGTAGGGGTTGATTTGTACCATAGGAATGTTGTTGTATTTTATAGGGGGTTTTAATTGTTTTTAATTCTTTGTATATTGGTTATTGTGTCTGATGGGACCCACCCTGAGCCTGCTATGTGCAGAGGGCAGGATACAAATCCAATAAAATTAAAAAATTAAAAATAAATAAACCAGAGATATCATCAAGGAAGACTACGCGAAGACTATTCCTACAGACAAAAGAGAGATGAGAAGCAAAAGTAAAAAATGACAAATAGAATAAGAAATCTAAATGCACATTTCCAGTGACTGGCACGTAGAGACAAAGAGAACTATTACAATAGCCAGTGTAAAGAAATAGAAGAGACAAAAAAGGAAGAACAATATCTGTTCCATAAGATCCAAGAAAACAAGAAGAAGTTTAAAGCATGGTTAGGCATGCTGAAAGATCAATTTAGGCCCCGGTCACACGAATGGTTTTGGGCCGGGAGAGGGACGGATCAGGGCTGCAGCAAACGGGCGCGATCCCACTGCAACATCTGGGCAGCGTTGCGCACCCGTCCCCAATCCGGCCCTTTCCCCAAAAAGACGCAGCAAAACTAAACCACCTACTGAGGTGGTTCTTTCAGGACGGCCGCATCAAGGCTGGCCATGGGATCGCCGGCCCGTTCTTCTGCCGGCGCATCCCCGGCTCCTGCCTGAACTGCGCATGCTCAGACATGCGCAGTTTGGCAGTCTCCCGTTCCCCTCCGTCGCTTCCCTCGGCATCTGATCGTGCCGGGGAGGGAATGCGCCGCGGCTCGGGATCAATGTGATCCCGCTGTGGCGTGTTTCTTTAGGTGC